GAGAATGAGTACATGAGAGAGGACACTAGCAGAGTTATGTAAACAAACCAGGCATATGCGAGTTTTGTAAACAAACCAGGTGAACACGTCTGGTTTGTGTACAAGTTCCATTGTGTACAAGTTGTCTCTGCATTGGTACAGTAGAGTAAATAAAGAGGAACACTCTCATTCTCATGTTACACCATTTTTAGAAGAAATGATGCTCTAAGTGAAGGCATATGGAAGGAATAATTTTCTACTGTTACCCCCAGTAACACATTTTCTCTGATGTTGGACTAGAGAAAAAGTTATTCTTGCCGTCACTCGTACAAGTCGTCTGGCTACCACAGTTCATATTTATGTTAATTTATTTTACTGTGGGGTGTATTTATCATGTTTATATGTTACACATTGTGTTTATTATATAATTTTGAAAAAAATATCATAGATGGATTAATGAAAATGTGTATATTAATGTAACATACAACATTTAATGAGACTTTGCGGTGGGAGACGACCGACTTGTTAAAAAAACAATTATTATTATTATTATTATTATTATTACTACTACTACTAATATGGCATCTCGAGACATAAGACACTTACTGATTTTAATGTGTACCTGCTCCCCAGCACAGTGTGTAAGCTTATCTAGGTGCAGGTATACATAAGTATAATTATCAGAGTACAGTGGACCTCCGCATAACGATCACCTCCGAATGCGACCAATTATGTAAGTGTATTTATGTAAGTGCATTTGTATGTGTATGTTTGGGGGTCTGAAATGGACTAATCTACTTCACAATATTCCATATGGGAACAAATTCGGTCAGTACTGGCGCCTGAACATACTTCTGGAGTGAAAAAATATCGTTAACCGGGGGTCCACTGTATATATAAAATATGATATAACTTTTAAAAACACTTGAAATTTTGGAGTTTCCAGATATTATGGAGAGACGTGGTGCTTACAGAGCTCACGGAGAATGTAAACAAACCAGGTGGGGCACGGTGACTGTATTAGAAAATCAGGTGGGGGGGAGCCGTATAGCGAGTTTTGGTCATAATTTGAAATGTCCGTATTAGTGGACTGCCATAAAGTGAAATGCCGTAGAGTGGGCCCCTACTGTATTAGTGTCAGAACAAACATTGGCTAAGAAATTACAAGAACTACTACAAATTGTAATTATCAGAACATAAAAATTATATAATTAAAAAAAACGAGGAAAAAAGGTACATCAGCAACACTTCTGCAAGTGGCAGGACTCCTGTGTAAGTAATATTATCTCATTTGTGAATGCATATTAGACCATCCAGCTGGACATACATTAGATGAGTGGTATGATTAATGTCCTCTGGAATATTGAAAAAATTGAAATTTTCCACTATTTTGAGTTAATTTTCAAGCTGCTTCGAATCCTGAAACCAATCAGAATCGTCTCCATTTCTGTAATACATCTATTCTATCAAATGAAATCAAGAAACTGATAATAAAATTATAAAAACCCTCCAAAAATACCCTGCAGAGTCACTATTTTAAACCATACACACAGTCACGGTTTTGTTTTAACATCATGCACTGCATGGGACAGGATTTTTTTTTTATATGGTGCACACTCACCACATAGATCCATTCTCTCATATGTAGGCCAAAATTTACCACTCACAGCTCATCTGAGTGAACCGAGCTCATCTCATAGTTCTTCAGCACCAAACCTGAGCTGAGAACCATAGTACAGCCTCTACTCACATAGCAATGTACTCTTTTACCGGGCTCTCTGACCAGTATTCATACCTAAATAATGTACATTAGAGCTGATTTCCTCTATTCTGTTTATTTTAGTATACAGTACATTACTGTATAAACATTTAAAAATATACCGGAAATGTTATAAATGGTGCAGAGGTAATATTAAACAATATCGAAGATGGCTGATACAAACTCATTACCATTATAGTATGCGCTTCACTTAGCGGCGAATTCATTTAACGATGTGGTCTCAAGAGTGGAACTGTCGTTAAGTGAGGAGAGGCTGTATATGGCAGTGATGCTGAAAAGGTTAACCCTTATAGTAGCCATCACAAATTTACATCACTGAGTCCAGAGCCTCATGTAGTTCTAGGTCATGACCTCAGCTCACACACACAAGCTGTGAATGGTAAATTTTGGCCTAGATGTGAGAGAATGGGTCTATGTGGTGAGTGTGCACAGTTTAAAAAAAATCTTGTCCCACACGGTGCATGATGGAAAAAGCAATACTCTTACAGTGTGTATAGTTTGAAATAGACACTTAGAGGTGTTCTGTTGGATGGTTTCTTTGGTTTTATTGACTGCTATTTATTATTATTTAATAGAACAGAAGACACTACTAAAATAGAGATTATTTTGGTTTCAGAACTGGAAGTAACCTGAAATTAAGCTCAGATTAGCAGAAATATTTAATTTTTGCCAATTTTCCTGAAGGTGGGTAAGGTCCCTGTACCCCAAAATCTGTTTTATGGGTTTTTAATAGGTCTGAATCAATTATTGGGACACTGTAAACCATGGCCAATCTTTCTTGGTTATATTTTATTATCCAAGAAATATGGTAAATCTATTGTGTGATTATGAATTCAACATGAAAAGCAAGTGTAATATAGGAGATATCTGGAGATAAGATAAGATAAGATTTCGTTCAGATTTTTAACCCCGGAGGGTTAGCCACCCAGGATAACCCAAGAAAGTCAGTGCGTCATCGAGGACTGTCTAACTTATTTCCATTGGGGTCCTCAATCTTGTCCCCCAGGATGCGACCCACACCAGTCGACTAACACCCAGGTACCTATTTACTGCTAGGTGAACAGGACAACAGGTGTAAGGAAACGTGTCGAAATGTTTCCACCCGCCGGGAATCGAACCCGGGCCCTCCGTGTGTGAAGCGGGAGCTTTAGCCACCAGGCCACCGGGCCACCGGGCCACCGGGCCTGATGTGATTAATGAACAGAGAAAATGTTGTTTTGTTAACAAAAATGTCTACATTGTTCATTTTGTACATTTAAATTGGTATTTTTTAATTTGTGTAAAATTAGCCAGATTACCAACTTCTTCGTACTCTATAGAGTAGTTGAAATAGGTGAATTGGCAATGTTATGTGCTCAGTTGATAGAATGGAAGGCATTGTTGTGAAATAGCTAAGAATTTGGTGGAATGGAATAATGGAATTGGTTTAAAGTGGGTCTCAAATTGGGCAATATTGCATAAATTGTGCAGCTATTTTTGTGCTTGCATAATTCTGTAAATTTTCCATCAAATTTTGTATTTTTGATGTCATCTTCAGAAAAGGATTCTCTACCATTTCCAAAGAAGCTTTTTTTGTTTTAAAGTGGACGACTGAGAGTAATATTAATTTTCAGGGTCTGGACAGTAAAAAGGTTAAGTCTGTTTTAAATTTAATAATGAAAGACTTGACTATTTTCATGATATTGCTCTATCTGAAATAACAAGAGAATGCCTCTTCAGTTTAACTTCTAATTTGGTGTTTCTTAGCAGAAGGTTTGAAATAAATTTAAGCTGTGTATGTCCCAATTTTCCATTTTTACTGGAGTTGTTTGTTTATTGTTTGTTTGGTAGCAGCATCAGGCAGCAACAGTATTGAGCAAAACACGTGTGCAACAATCAGGTGTCTTTATTTCGTAAATGTTTGATCCACCTAGTAGGTTTCTGAACTCCTGAAGGATACCTGAAGGATGTTTTTTGGAGTCAGTGTTCCAGCAGCCTGGTCTCAGACCTGGCCTGGCAGATCAAGGCTTGATAAACCAGACTGTTACTTCTGACCATATGCAATCAGACATATGAACCACAGCCCTACTGGTCAGAAACTGACTGGAGGAACTTGTCTAGTTCCTCTTACAGACAGCCAGAGGTTTGTTGGTAATTTTCCTTCTGCATAAAGGGAGGATGTTGAATAGCCAGGGAGCTGTGACATTCATCAAGTTGTCTCATACTGCACATGCTGCAACCCTCACTTTTAATGAAGGTTCCTTGCACTGCCAAGTCTCTTGTATTTATACATAGTGATTTCATTGTTCATGTTTGGGGCCAGTTCCTCCAGATTTTCCACTTGTAGATAAAAATGTACATTTCTTGCCTACATTCCAAGGAATACAGTTAAAGGGACCTCAAATGTTCTGAGTAGTCTAGATGTTTAAATGAATGTATATGGGCAATGAAAGTTCTCTGCACTCTTTCCATTTCTGCACTCTCACCTGCCTTGAGTGGGGATGTAGTTTGTAAGTTGAATTACCAGGGATGCAGTTTGTAAGTTGAATTACCAGGGATGCAGGTTGTAAGTTGAATTACCAGGGATGCAGTTTGTAAGTTGAATTACCAGGGATGCAGTTTGTAAGTTGAATTACCAGGGATGCAGTTTGTAAGTTGAATTTTCCTACTTGTTGAAGTGTAACTGAAAAAAAGAATATTTTGCACTAATTTAAAGAAATTCTAAATGTTATGTGAAAAGTTTGGTAAACAAGTGCTTTTGTATATGCCTGTTGTGTTTGCAGGGGTTGAATTATTGCTCTTGGCCTTGCTTTAACTAACCATCTGGTGTTACTGATTCCTCATTTTATTTCTAAAGCTATATACATACAGCCTCTCCTCATTTAATGACGGAGTTTCATTCCTAAGACCACGCCGTTAAACGAATTCATCGCTAAGTGAGGAGCATACTTTAATGGTAGTGAGTTTGTGTCAGCCATCTTTGATATTGTTCTAATGTCATCTTTGCACATTTATAACATTTATAACATTTATAACATTTCTGGTATATTTTTAAATGTTTATACAGTAGTGTACTGTATATTGAAATAAACAAGATAGAGGAAATCAGGTCTGATATACATTATTTAGGTATGAATACTGGTCAGAGAGGCCGTTGTAAGTCCGAGGCGTCTGTGAACGAGTATGTCGCTAAGTGAGGAGAGGCTGTATAATGTTTTATTGTGCTTATGTTAATGATATTAATAATTTTTTTGTTTTTCAGGAATTCAGAAACAAGGATGGTTATACAAGAAAAGCAAGAAAAACAAGAAGTGGAAATGTTTATATTTCGTCCTAACTGATATTTTGTACTACTACGACAATCCAAAGGTACAACTTTATTGTTAGCTTCTAAATTTATCACCGAAGGTGTCTTATTAATATATATAGTAGGGCCCCACTTATATGGCGGGTTAGGTTCCAGGCTACTTCCAGAAGCAGACGGCGTCGGAAAGCAGAACTCCATTTTTTCCATTTATAAATTCATATAAATACCAGATAACAAGTTTACATTAACTTACATTAAGTTAGCAATAGAACTTGGCATTAAAAAGTGAAATACACACACAGTACACTCATTATTTACCTCAGAATATTTGTAGTCTTAATGTAGGGCAAAAGTCGAGTAGTATTTACCTAGGATAACACTTCCTGCATGTCTGTTACACTTCCTGCATGTCTGCTACACTTCCTGCATGTCTGCTACACTTCCTGCATGTCTGCTACACTTCCTGCATGTCTGCTACACTTCCTGCATGTCTGCTCCATTACTCCCTTTCTGTTTACAATCCCTGAAAACCTTGCTACATTTCCTGCTTTCCCTGCTACACCCCCTGCATGTCTTTTACCACCCCCTGTTTTCCCTCCCTACACCCCCTGAATTTCTGCTCCCCTTTCCTGCATGTCTGCTACACTTCCTGCATTTTCTTTTTCCTTCCTGCATGCCTGTTCACTTCGCATTTGCTCCCTTTCCCTGTGCCTGCAACATTTCCCGCATCCTGCTAATTCCTGATGTCTGATTAACACTTGTTTGGTTGCTCCCATTTCCTTCATCCTGCTAATTTTCCCGCAGTCTGTACATTTCCCTGATGCCTGAACATTTCCAGCTTTCCTCCCTACATTCCTGCATGTCTGCAACCCTGCATCCTGTACATTTCCCGCATGCTGTAAATTTCTGCATGTCTGCTACATTTCCGGGCTTTCCTGCTACATTTTCCTGCGGGCTTTTTAACTTCCTGCATGCTCCCTACACCCCTGAAACCCTGTTTACATTTCCTGCTTTCCTGTAAAATTCCCTGAATGTTTCTCCCTTTCCCTGATGTTGTTTACACCCCCGCTCCCTAATTTTCCTGCATGTCTTTAATTTCCCCCCTGTCTGTTACACTTCCTGCATGCCTGTTTCACTTCCTGCATCCCTGTTACACTTCCTGCATCCCTGCAACATTCCGATGCCTGCTACACCCCTGCTTACCTTCCTTTTCCTGATGTCTGCTCCCTTTCCTCCCATGCCTGTACATTTCCCTGCGTCTGCTAAAATTCCTGCATGTCTTTCATTTCCGGAATACCTCCCCCCCAACCCTTCCCTGCATGTCTGTTACATTTCTCCCCAATTGTCCTGCTACCCCCCCCCTTCCTGCAGGTTGCACATTTCTGATGCCGGGTTTACATTCCCTGCTTCCTGCTACACTTCCTGCATGCCTGCCCACCAAGAAACCGCTACATTTCCTTTAATGTCTCCCTACACTTCCTGCATGCTGCTCCCTTTTCCCTGCATTTGTTTACACCCCCGCTCCTGCCTACATTTTCCCTGCATGTTGTACCATTTTGGCAGCTGTCCCTTTCGTTTTCTGTTTCACTTCCTGCATGCCTGCTACATTTCCCTGATGCCTGCTACCCCTTCCTGCTTTCTGCTAAATTTCCCTGCACCCTGCTACACTTCCTGAAAGTCTGTTACACTTCCTGCATGTTCCCTACATTCCCTGCATCCTGTACATTCCTGCAGGGCCTGCAAAACACTTTTCCAGCATGCCTGTATTTTTCCCTGCATGTTTACACTTTTGCATGTTGCTACCCCCCCCCTGCTGCCTGCTACATTTCCCTGTTTCCTGCTACATTTCCTGCATGTCTGACCACCCCCCGCATACCTGCTACATTTCCTCATGCGCTACACCCCTGCAGGGCCGGGTACCCCCTTAAAGGCATCCCGCTCACCCCCTGCATGTTCCCTACACTTCCCCTGCTTTGTTGCTACCCTTTCCTGATGTAGTTTCACTTCCGGGCATGCCTCCTAACCCCAACATTCCTGATGTCTGCTACATTCCTGCAGTTGTTACCCCTTCCCTGCTTTGTTGCTACATTTCCCGCTGCCTGCTAAAATTTTCCTGATGTTGCCCCCCCCCAGCTTTGTTGTTACATTTCCCTGCATGTTCTTCATTTCTGCATGTGCTACACTTCGGGTTTCCTGACACTTCCTGCATGTCTGCTTACATTTCCCTGCATGTTTTTTAACCTGATTTACATTTCCTGCATGTCGGGCTAATTTCCCGGGCATGCCTGTTTCCCCACACCTGCTTACTTTTGTTTCTCCATTTCCCTGCATGTCTGCTAATTTCCTGCTTTCTGCTAATTTCCTGCATGTTGCACATTTGCATGTTCCCTAACTTCCTGCTTTTGGGCTACATTTCCCTGCTTCCTGTAATTTTCCCTGCATGTTGCTACATTTCCCGTGTCCTGTCCCAACTTTTTAAATTTGTTGCTACACCCCCGCTTTCTGCTACATTTCCTGATGTCTGCCCTTTCCTGCATCCTGTACACTTCCTAATGTTGTTCCATTTCCTGCATGCCGCTACACTCCCTGCTTCCCTGCTACACCCCTGCATTCCTGCTCCCACCCTGCATGTCTGCTCCCCCCCCTTGACCTGCTAATTTCCCCAGTTTACCCCTCCCCTTAATTTCCTGCATGTCTTTTACATTTCCTGCATTTTGAAAACTTTCCCTCCCTTGCAAAACCCCCCCCCTGCATTTGGCAAATTTTCCCTTGATGTCGGGGGGTACATTCCTAAATGTCTGCTACACTTCCTGCATCCCGCAAACCCCCTGCATCCTGTTTACACTTCCTGCATGTCGGGAAATTTCCTGCATTGTTACATTTCCCACTGTCTTACATTTTCCCTGATGCCTGCTAAAACCCTTCCTGAATGCCCTGCTAAAATTCCTGCTGTTGCTACATTTCCCTGACCCCTTGTACACTCCGATCCTTTGTTACCTTCTGCAGTTGTTACATTTCCCCCCATGGTTGTAACTTCCTGCTTTTGCTACATTTCCCTGCTGCCTGCACACTTTCCTCATGTTGTCCCTTCCCTGCATGCCTGTTAAAATTCCTGATGCCTGATACATTTCTGCATGCCGGCTAAAACCCCAGTTGCTGCTACATTTCCCTGCTTTTTGAACCCCCACTCTAAAAATTTTGAGGGCCCCTACATTTCCTGATGCCTGCTCCCTTTCCTGCATGCCGGGCTTTCCTGCAGTCTGCTTTTCTCCCACTCCTGCTTTTTGAATCCTACACTCCTTTTTGGGGGTTGTTCCCCCCCCTCCCAGCTGCTACATTTCCCTCCCTTTTAAATGTTTTCCCTGCATGCTTTTACACTCCCGCTCCTGTACACTTCCCGAGGGTTTTACATTCGCATCCCTTGTAAAATTCCTGCATGTTGCTACATCCGATCCCTGCTACACTCCCTGCATGTTTCTACACTCCCCTCCCAACCCCTTGGGGTTTACACCCCCTCCCATGTACCTCCCTTTTCCGGGCATGCTGTACACTTCTTCCCCTGCCCCTTTTTACATTCCCCGGGCATGGCCCTGTTCCCTTTTCCTTTTGCATGCCTTTCACTCCCTCCATCCTTGCTACACTTCCTGAGGGTCTGCTACATTTCCGCATGCTGATACATTTCCTGCATGTTTTTCCTACACCCCCTCCCTTTTTTACCCTGTTTTTCCCCCTTTCCGCTGTCTGTCACTTTTTAAATGCGGGCTACACCCCCTGCATCCGGGTTTCCCTTTCCCTGAATTGTTTTAAAATTCCCTGATTCTCCCAACACTTCCTGCATGTCTGCTAAAATTCCTGAATGTCGTAATTTCCCTGCTTGCGCTACATTTCCGGCTCTAAAATTTCCCTGCATGTTTTTTTTCATTTTCCTGATGCCGGGTTAAATTTCCTGCTTCCTGCAAACACTTTTTGCATGCACCCTACACTCCTCATGTCTGCAAAAACTTCCGGGAAGTCTTTTCCCATTTTCGGGCTTTCTGCTAATTTCCCTGCATCCCTGCTAAAACTTCTCCTGCCTGCTACATTCCTGCATGATTTTACATTTCCGAAAACCTGAACACTTCCTGAAGGGCTGTTTCCACTTCCTGCATCCCTTGCTACATTCCCGCATGCCTCCCTTACACCCCGAAAGTCTTTTCCCATTTTCCGGGTGTTTTGCTCCCATTTCCCTTATGCCTGCACATTTCCCTCATGCCGGGCTACATTTCCCTTGAAATGTCTTGCTCAAAATTCCTGCATGTTTGCTACACTTCCTGCATGCCTGTACATTAGCATGTGCTACATTCCTAAATGTTCAAAATTCCTGCATGTCTGCTCATTCCTGCGGGGTTGCTACATTTCCTGCTTTGTCCTCCCACCCGCTGCTCCCTACATTTCCCTGCATGTCTGTACCCCCCCCAGGTTGTACATTTCTGCTCCCTTTCTACACTTCCTGCATGTCTCCCTACATTTCCTGCTTTCCTGTTTAAAATTCCCTGCATGTCTGCTAATTTCCCTGTTTGTCCCCTTCACCCCGATCCTGCTACACTTCCTGCATTTCTGCTACACTCCCGTTTTACAAGTTTTAATTTTTCCCTGATGTTGCTACACCCCTTTTTTCCTGCTAAAACTTCCTGATGTCTGTTCATTTCCCTGCTAACCCAACCCCCCGCTTTCTGCTCACTTCCTGCATTTCTGTACCCCCCTTTGCATTTTAACCCTTTTTCTGTTTACATTTCCCCCCATGTTTTCAACATTTCCCTGATGCCTGCTACACTCCCTGCTTTCCTGCAAACCTTCCTGCATGTTTGTTTACACTTCCTGCATGTCGCTACATTTCCCGCATTTTTCTGTAAAATTCCCGAAACCCTGCTCCCACCCCCCTCATGTTGCTCCCTTCCGATGTCTTTGAAACCTTAACCTTTTGCTGTCTTTTTACACCTTCCTAAATGTCTGCAACACTTCCTGCTTTAAAAATTGCTACACTTCCTGCATGTCTGTCCCCTCCGAAAGTTTTTTAAACTTT